CACAACAACTACATCTACGACGACGACAACAACAACCACTACTACTACAACCACTACAACTACACGCACAACTACAACAACCACCACGACAACAACTACTACAACAACCACGAAAACAACAACAGGTAAGTGAAATATTTTCACTAGTTTGTAATACTTTTTTAACTAATGCTTACACTAAGTAAGATTTGAGTACACCAGCTCAATAACTATTCTGTTACGGTTTTTGTCTCGCTTAACTGTAAAACTCGCAGTTTGAAACGAAAATGTTTTCGTATTATGATCAAACAGAGAGCATCATCCATAGTTATGCAATAAATGATTTCGATCATTTATTATTGCCTGGATGCAAACAAGTTTTGCTCTTATATAATAGTCTGCGTGCAGAAATTCGTTTTTTGATCAGGTGAATTTAGAATAAAAAAGTTTCATAAGAATATACATAATTTATTCAATTAGCTGATGAGATAATTACAAAAACCCAGAATGATTGATTTAAGTTTCAGTATTTTTCATTCTTCTTTCGGTTTTACTTTCTAATATATAATATGTTAGATTATTATCCATATGTTAAAATAGTACATGATCAAAAACTATATTTCATGTTCATGAGCCTATTCTAGTAGATACAAGAATCTATTTCTCACTTGGAATAGTTCTTTTGGGCTAAAAGTTTTAGCGAAAAGTAATCCTTGTGAGAAACTCTTCTGATAAAAATTTCAGTTGTATCGGCCGTACCAAATCGGATTTTCCCATAAGTGTAATCCAAAAAAACTTGAAATATAATTGAATAGATCGACACAATCTAATGGGATAGTTTCATTCATTATCTCGTTGAAAAATTGATAGTTTTTACAATAACGTATCATAATATTTTGATTGCTTAGTTTTTCATTGATTATCCCGAAACGTTATAGATTCATATTAAAAAATATCTGTCATCATTTTCCTTTATATATCGGATTAGTTCATGTTTGTTCGTTTCTGATAGTCCAATGGAGATAAATCTAAAAAATCAATCATCGATTTATATTGAGATTGATTTCGAAGAGATATTTCAATTTATCTTCAATACCAACATTGGTAGAAATCAATGTATAGTTCTTTGTTTACATAACTTACTTTACTTAATTAGAGTTAAATTATATCTCAGTTGTTAATCATCAATGATATATATTCCTCCATTCGCAATTTATACTTAAAAAAAGATCTCAGAATTTTGATGAAAAGCGTTCTTCTATCATTTATATATTAAACTAGATTAGGAGTGTCATCAAATTGAGTCACATTAAAAAAACTTTGATAATAGTATTGTCCTAATGTAGGATAGATGAGAACAAGTTCACCGCAAAATATATAGTAATCGAATAATTTTGTTCATTTTTGAGTTGATTAAAATCTTGGACAAAAACGCATAGTGTAAGACAAATTTTCTAGGTTGTTTTGTTGGAGACAAAATCTTGATAACATGATAAAATATGATATTTCGATACTGTTTCTTAGTTACTAAAAATTAACCAAGTATCTTTTTCATTCCATAGCTTGTAGCAGCAGGTTTCTGACTCAAATTTCATATACAGTTGGTCAAAATCCACGTATAGTAGCCGCCGCTGATTTGAATAATGACAACAAGCCAGATATTGTTACAGCAAACGGATTTACAAATGGTTTTAGTGTTATTCTCAATGCAGGCGATGGCACTTTTCTTGCCCAAGCTACTTATACAACTGGTACTTATCAATACTCGATTGCAATAGGTGATTTTAATAGCGACACTAAACCAGATATTGTTACGGCAAATGATGCTTTGGGCAACGTTGGTGTTTTTCTCAATGCAGGCAGTGGCACATTTTCTGCTCAAACTACTTATACATCTGGTACCAATCCACGCGGAGTAACAGTAGGGGATCTGAATAATGACAACAAATTGGATATAATTGTTGCAAACTATGGTTCGAACAACGTTGGTGTTCTTCTCAATGCAGGCAGTGGCACATTTCTTGCTCAAGTTACTTATGCAACTGATAGTGGTACTTGGGGAGTGACAGTAGCTGACTTGAATAGTGATGGCAAACTGGATATCATTTCAGCAAACTCCGAAACGACCACTATTAGTGTTTTGATCAATGCAGGCAGTGGCACATTTCTTACTCGAGTTAGTTATACTGTTGGTAGCCGTCCATTCTCAGTAGCAGCAGCTGATATAAATAGTGACAGCAAGGTGGATATTGTTGTCGCAAACACATATTCGAACACCGTTGGTGTTCTTCTCAATTCAGGCACTGGTACATTTTCTGCTCAAACAACTTATCCAACTAATTCGTATCCATACTCAGTTGCAATAGCTGATATGAATAATGACACTAAACTAGATATTATTGAGTGTACTGCCGTTTCGAACGATGTTGGCGTTCTTCTTAATGCAGGCAGTGGCACATTTCTTGCTCAAACTACTTATCCAGTTGTTAATGATGCAACTTCAGTAGTAATAGCTGATTTCAATAGTGACAATAAACCGGATATGGTTGCTACAAACTTCAATATGAACACGGTCAGTGTCTTCATTCAATGCTGAAATCTATGGATTTATGAACTAAACTGAACTTACTTCTTGACATTATACTCCTATACTAAGGATATTATTTTTATAAAACATTACTCGACACGGACGATCAATTATACTTAATTTTACGACTTTCAATAAAATGTTTTTAAATCTTGAGTGTGCGAGGATCAAATTATAAGCGAATTGTGCGTGAGAGGTGAGATGAAAGTGAGTGTGGATATCGATCTGGATGAAACAGAATACCCAAATGCCGTATCCACCCTCAAGATGATTTATATTTTATAACCTAAGATCAAAATATGATAAGTACATGTGTAGACTATCTAACTATAACGAGTGAATGTGTAAATAATTACCCAAATAAATCGTTGATTTAAATATTACATTGCTTGAACAAACAATATTATATAAAAATAAGAAGAATAACGATATTGAAATTTACTTCCATTTTACCATATTTCAGAATTCAATTTCACGGTAGATATTATCAAAACAGTTGTTCATTTAAGAACAGATGAATGTAGATGATAGTGATAGTATTAAACTTATCTCACACTTACGCTTTTAAGACAAAATCGTGCAATGTATTGACGACAAGCAGAATTCCTATCTCCACACATAAGGTTTGATTGCTTTTGTCATGATTCTAAATGATAGCTACTGGTTGATTTTTCTGTTAATACTTCATATAAGAAATAACAGAACCTGTAGACCATACATTAAAGTGTATCACGCTTTGTTAGCTCTTCTTTTAACTAAGAACAAATGACTCAATTTTTTCACTTGATCTCCTTTATGTAAAGAAAGTGTTTTGCACAAGAATCAAGTAGATATTTTATCAAATAAGATTGCACGATATAATTTATTGTACATATCTTTTCTCAAGAGAAGAACGAAACTTACAGTTCTACTGAATGAATTTGTTAATAACCTACAACTAATCGTTAAAGTGTTATATTTCAAAATTGAATATATTTCTATGAGAATAATTTTCAATGGCTAGAGCAATAGGTATTGATTTCGGTACAGCATATTCATGTTTTGCTGTATTTCAGCACGGTAAAGTTGAAATTATTCGTAATAAACAAGGTAATAGAAAAACAGGGTGTGAGCGTCGGTGTGACATGAATATGATATCTACACCCACATCCTCAAGATAATAATTTCCTTCATTTTGTATATTTATATTGAAATATTAAAAAAAAGACGAAACTATATATCGAAAGAAGAGATCATAAGATTAGCATTGAAGTCATTGCCTTACAATTTGCATAAAGATTACATTTAGATATGTCAAAAAAAAACTTAAATAGAATGATCTTAATATACAAAGACGTACTCTTAATTTAAACTACAGCATGTTAAAATCATATTTCGAATGAAAAACATGGGTTCATATTAAAAGAATGTCTTTTTTCACTCTGTAAACATATTAACTTCTATAGTTGTAAATGTATAATCCATTTTTTTGTCTTTTCATCTTTCTGAACATCTACTATTTGAAATAAAACACCAGCTGGTAGAAGAACTTCTTCCTCGTCTGGGAACTGTGATATATGTTGAATATTAAAAGCACGATTCGAGGATATTCCTATTTCTTTAACATTAATTATGAATAATGTATTCTCTCCAAAGATTTCAACGACTTGTTGATTTTTACTTGTTGACGTAAAACTACGCCAAGTTTTCCATTCTTTCATAGAAACAGCATTGCGATATTGGCTGACTTGTTCCTCAGAGAGATTACAACCACGATATAGATATCCATTGTATTCTGTACCAGCCGAACGTATATAAGCTCGAAGTAGATAACAATAAGGGCCCAGTGTATCAATTTTACTTAGATCACTATTACGTAGTGCAGTGTTTACGACGCGATATAGAAAACTAGCTCTTGTAAATAGATGAACACATATTTTCGATATGTCTTTTATTAGCAATCTTTTACAAGGTTCCAATTTTCTCACTAAATAACTTGCTTCAATTTCTTTTCCAATGAGACGTCCCTCAGTCATTATGCCTTCAATCGCTTTTCTTACACATTTTTTCGCATTAAATAAACAATGTTTACCAACTTTTGACTGTATCCATTGCATAATCAATGGACTCCATTCATATTCGTGTCCGAAAGTGTATGATGTAGGTGAGACTTGCGACAATGGTTCAGAAAATCGTTCTTGAAGAATATATTTGCGTTCATTGTTACTTGCAATAACACGTTTAATTGTTTGATGTTTAGTATTATCTAACTTGCTCACTTGTACCAATTGATTGAAGTCAATTAAATAATCATCTAATTCTATAAATGATTCTGTATTTGACTTTCGCTGATACGCTTCTTCGATTATTTCATTTTCAATATCAGAATATGGCAACCAGTGGTCGTTTTCATCATTGTCTAAAGAAACATTCATCTTGTCTTTGAAATACCATAATACAATAGCATCCGACATCTAAATCAGATATCTCAAAATCCTGTCAATTTTATATTAAGTTAAAGTTTTTATTGGGATAAACTTACGTGTCTTTTATTTAATATTTCTTCATAATGAAAATCTGGTGATAATACGCAAACATCATTACTTTCATCCTCATCTTCTACAAAATCTGAGTCATATGAGTATGTTATAATTGATGCACTACTATAAGGAGTCCATTGTTCTGCATCATGATAATAGACTACGTCATTGTCGTCTACGGCAAAAAGTTTAGGACCAGTATATAAGGTTTGATAATATCTAGCATTCGGACTCGGAAGTCCATCACTCTGACGATCAAATTCTAATTTGAGAAAGTTCCAACTCTGTTCAACTCCAGTAACATATACTGGTATCTGAGCTTGTGAGATGAATGTAAAACTGCAAATATTGCTTTTCTTCTTATTGTTGTTATGGTTGTTATTCATCGACAAAAATAAAGTAAATCTTTTTAAAACCTTATTTCAAAACGGAACGAACAGAAGAAAAATAACAAGCATGATCAGCAAGAATATTATGCCAAATTTGCATTATAGAGAGCAACTGCACATTATAAGTATTTGAACGAAAATGATTTATTCACATTGTTAATTTGAAATGGGTCGTATTTAAATGATCAGTTTTTTATACCGAATTGTCAGTTGTTTTTTTACAAAGTGATCAGTAGTTTTTGATCAGTAAATTTATTTTTTTTGAGCAGTAAATAATGTCGAATGTCAGTAATTATGATCAGTAAATATATTATTTTTGATCAGTAGATAAGTTTTTTTTGATCAGTAATTTTTGCTATTTTTATCAGTGAAAATTTTTATTTGATCAGTAATTTTTTTTTCTATTTATATTAGTGAAAATATTACAATTACAAGAAACAAACATTTATTGAATAAGTAATGCTTTTTTAGCTTTTGAGGGTCGACCTCTACGTCTTTTTTCTCCTATTGGAATGTTTTTTGCAGCAGGTGGAGGTTTACAATAATTGAGTCGAATTGCCAATCCAACGATATGTTTACACATGAACTTCTTGAAATATACTGGACAATTACATTGACCATTTAACCATTTTGCTGAATCCATTGGTAATATCACGTGCCAGATATTAAATGCTTTTGCTTTATATTGGTCGAACGAATACCACTTCATTTTTTTCATTACGCCAATTTCGTTTTTTGAAATACTTAATTGTTGACCACCTGGTATGTAAAATTCAATTTCATTTTCTAATTCGATTTATACAACAGATTTGTTCAACTTAACCCATTGATAACTACTAGTCCATATATCTAATGTCACCGTTTGTTCATCATGAAATTGTTTGAGGCCTCTTTCGTATGATTTTGACCATTTTTGTACCATTTCAAAAGTTAAAATTTTAAATCTGGATAATGGAAGACGTTCTCGAAATGTATTTTCGTCTTTAATCACTCTGTTGTTGGACTCCAAACCATTATTTGTACTTGGGGTTAACTGCTGAATACCTTCGTACCAACCACGATGTGAAGTTAACCATTCCTTTTGAAAATACTCGATGAATGTTGGTTCTTTCCTGTTCCATTTTCTGATAAAAAAATTGGATGCTTTTGTAAATATTTTTTCACTTTGTGCTAATTGTAATGCATCAATATCTTCTATCAAATCTTCTTGCTCCATGTTATTTACCATAGATTCAATCTTCTTCACCACGGCACGTCGCATGTGCGCCCAGCACATTACTATAGGTTTTTCTCCAAAAATGGCTTCAAAGCCATTACGAATTGCACCTGAACCATCTGCAATCAAAATATTTAGGGTAATTCTTGTAAACTAAGCTTCATTACGCCATCTTGAAGAGCACGAAAAATGAATGTGAAATCTTTGGTCTTTTCGTGGGTGGGTGTGGGTATGGATGTGGGTGCGGGAGTATTTGTAGGATTAGAGTACAGTACTCACTCACACTCACCCTCATCCACACCCACACCCACCCCCAAGAATAAATGGAATAGTATTTATAAAGTAGGTCACACAGTAACAAATACAATAAGTAGGACAACATATATATGTGATATCGAGGGATATCATGAAATGGTGAAAACTGATAAAAATGCGATAATTTACTGATCAAACGTAGTTAACTACTGATATTTTAGTTTAAATACTGATACATTCATTATTTTACTGATCAAATGATTAAACTACTGATCAAAAAACAAGAATCACTGACCATTAATTATTCTACTGATCGATTCAGTTATTATAATGACAAAACAGTCTTAATTACTGATCGCCTTTTACTGATCATTTTGAATAAAAAACTGACCATATAATTTGTACCCATTTGAAATATCAGTTTATAATAAAAATTTGTCGTTTGTTATATATGGTTAATAAATATTTTGCATAATCGATGGTGAATTTTGCGATAGACGAATGCAAAAATTACAGCTTTATACTAAATATAATATGCGCAGAAGAAAAGAAAAAAAATTGTATTTGCACTACTTTTACACAGTAGCGGTCGTATTTTTAATGCATCACTACGTCTTGTTTTGATCACAAATCAGAGTAAACCTGAGTGGGTATAAATGAGTAATGAAGAAAATACTCACTCTCGCATAGTAGTTTTAATATTCATACATAAAAAAAGGAGAAATACAAGCATCATGCCATATAGATAGGTATGGATGTGGGTTAAGAGAAGATAGATATACACACCCGCACCCACATCCTCAACTAAATGTACATATGTTCCAATCTCAATCGATCCAAGATATATTTGATTAAGTCTAAATTGTTCTTTCAATTTCATGTTTATTTCATTCTTTCCTAGTGTTCTAAACACTCGTCGTTTTACCTACATAACAGATTAATAGAAAGAAAAGAACAGCAATACCATGTGCTTTTGTTGATTTTTTTTTATAAAAATGATAACAAAAAAACGCTGATTTTAAATGGTGAATAATTATTCTTTAATCTTGCCTAGAAGGCTATTCTCCTTGTTCTTGGCGATTTGTCGTTCTTTACAAAAACACTGTATTAGTCTCTACGTATGTTACTTTTCTTTTTTTCTGCTCGTACAATCCATTAGAAAAATGACGAGGAGCTCGATTTATTTGCATTTATTGAAGCGTAATTATGTTTCGTGCATCAAACACTTAGTCTACTTCCCTTATTTAATATATGTATGATTCAACCATTAAACATGTACACACTCAAATATTTACTATTTTTCTTAGAAAAAACTGTCAAATGAATACAGTAATCTACTTATAGATCAACGTTCTGTCAATTTCAAGGATGCACTATCAGTATCAACTGTTTCTAGTGCTAGTACGAATACATCGAAGGAATTTCGTGATAAAGGGATGTGGGTAGGTGTAATCTTCTTATTCATCCCCCACACCCACCATATTATTTAAAAATTAAATATTTCAATCATTATGATCAATTTATTATTTTCATTCTATTATGAAATTATAGATTAAAAATGATGAGAAAGATTCAATTTTGATACACTACCCCTTTATCTCTATCAACAAGAAAAAAAGTGACGTCAGTCTATGTAAAAAGATAAAGATGTTTCATTCTCTCATTTCATTGATTACGATAACACTTTCTTCTTTCTACCATTACGTTGAATATTTCTATTTGGATTGTATCAACTTTTTAAATGAATAAAAACTCAACTAAACGCCAACTGGAATTATCTAGTATTCATAAAAAAAAATTTCGACGTAAGTAACATTCATATTTGTGTATTCGTATATATATACTATATTTGCTAATTTTATCAGCAAGAACAACGTCTGACGACACGTAAGTCTAATCGAAAGATATCTGAATTTTATTTAGTTATTTTAATAGCTTAATTACCCAACTGGAGAATTTGTCAAATGAAATCTGCTATGAAGTATTTGATTATCTTGATGGGCATGCAATATATAAAGCATTTGATGAATTGAATGCTCGTTTTCAAAAGCTGATTACAACGTCATCATTTTTATTGAAAATCTACATTGATAATGAATCACACTTGAAAATAGAAGATTGTTGTAAAAATCTTCTCATTCCGAATAAACATCGAATTCTTTCATTTCATCTTCATGATCCTGTACAAGCGGAAAGTTTTTTCCAAAATTGTACTTTTGATTCAACATTTATTCATCTGAAGTCAATTCTTCTTCATGTAATTGATGACTATTTTCAAGCACAACAATTGAAATGCTTAAAAAGTTTACCTCATCTTCTTTCACTTACTATTGTACTCTACGGTGATCAATGTTACAATCAAGAAGACATGTTTATTGATGATATATATGAAATTATTTTCACTTTACCTTATTTAGAATATAGTTCTTTATCAGTGATAAAATACAATGATTAATATCTTCCAACATTCGTTGATAAGAATATACAATCGAATTCAATCACATCTTTACATATGGATTTTGATTGTGATCTCGATAGTCTTCTTTCGGTTCTTAGTCATACACCACAATTACATCGTTTATATTGTACTAGATTGTTTCAATCGAAAGAGGATGACGATACTGACTTCTCAATAAAATGTTCTAATTTAAAGTATCTTCGAATAGAAGAATGTTCTGTTAAATTTGATAGATTTCAAAAATTCATCAAGGATATTGGTTCTCAAATCAAAATATTCTGGATTCACGGTTATTTGCCTGATGATGATGATATTGAACCTGATCAATGGCGGATACTAATTGAAAAAGATCTACCACAATTAGAAAAAATTCTGTTAAGATCTTCAGTAACTACTGATGTGAGAAAAATCAATTCTGTTATTGATCAATTGAATTCATCATTTTGGATTGATCATCAATGGAATATTAGATTAGAAATTGAACCCGATGAAAGTTCCTATTTTATTTCTTCATATATGTATTAGCGAGAAAGAAAAACTTTTTCTTAACAAATCATCTCTTTATTTTCTTTCGTAGATCAACACGGTTTGACTTCGATCAAAAAATCCAAACGAAGAGCAATTCGACATCTAACGAATTATTGATCAGTAATGTTGACGATGTACCTTGGCCACAACCAGTGATCGAACAATTGATTCCAGTTTTGAGTCAAATGAAATTTACAAGAATATATTCCTGTAATAGTCAATTATCTCTAGATAATTTTATTCAACTAATTAATTTATTACCATGTCTTGATTCATTGAAGATGGATATAGTATTAGGAGAGCAATGCAATAGTTTATCGATTGAAGATGAGGAGAAATTTTTATCCGTATCAAAGTCGAATACAATTACAAAAGTTGTTCAGAAAATGAATATGAACTTAACAGAGTTTCTTATTAAGCTTTGTCCACATATGACGTATTTTCAAGTAGATTCCATCAAAGATGATGATGATGATGATATAGAAGAGCTGGTACAATTTATTTTACTGAAAAGAAAAACACACATTCCTCATCTTCAATCGTTATGTCTTAACCTCCGTAATGTAAATGATGAATTAATCACCACATTACGAAATATAGTGGATTCCGAGAAAATCACTGCATCTGATTATTTGATTAAATCTTCCGGAACTTTTATCATTTTACAATGGAAATTACAATAACTAGTTTTTGATTTGATTTTATTTAAATTTAATACTAAGTAGACACAGAAAAAAAGATAGATCTTATAGAACATCAACTGATGTGGGATGTTCATGCGATTCAAAGAATTCATGAATACCAGATACTAGTTGCATGTTTTCTTCGATTTGCTCCTTTAATTCGAGTACTTTGCGTTTAAGTGTAATTTTTTCCGCGATGGTTCGAACTTGATCATCGATCGACTTATTAACATAGTTTTGATAACGTGCTAAATAATCATTGAGCTCTTGAAAGTGTCGAGTGAAACTTTTGTTTAGTACATCGGTTAAATACTGATCCAATTCTGTTTCGATCTCTTTCATATGAGTCTGAAATTGACATATAAAGTGGTTTTTCATCTCACTGATTATGATTTGATATTTTGTTCCTTCTACGTATCCATCATCATACAGAATCGTAACCAAACCAAACAGCCACCAAGGAGTGAAAATCTTTTGTAATTTTAACTCAAAATCTCTCGGGATAGAGTAGATGATATCAAAATTAGGCGGCTTTCGAAACTGGATATTGAAAGCGTCTGCTAATTGGTTCTGAGCAGCAATTAATAGCTCTTTTGTTTTTTCTTCAAGTTGATGATTTAGTCGAAGACAGGCTTCATCACATTGGAGATCCACATCATTTCGAATGCTAAGTAGAGCTACGTCAGTTATTGCACGAATTTGTCGAGCGACACTCCGTATGAAATTGAGACCGTCGTACTCATTCTTAAAGATCAAAAGTCCATGCCGATTAGCTAGATGATCGATCGTCGTCCCTACTCGCCGCATGAATTTGTGAATGGGTGAGGGGATGATAACCGTGGAGGCTGTACCAATGATATCCTTAGACGAATTTGTGTTGCCCGAATGAGCTCGATAGAGTTGATCAGGTCGATAGTATTCTTTAAATACTTCTTCCAATTGCTTCAGAGTATTTTCCTCCATTTGCTTGAATTGAGTTTGAAAATAATCAGTTATTCTTGTCTGTTCATCTACTAAAGTTGCATTTTGCTCTTCCATAATATTTTGAGCACATTGCATTTCAACATAGAGTACATCACTTTGCAGACGCAATGCTTTCTCATCAGCCCAAAGAAGTCTCTCTCTAATAGTTAAAACTTCATGCAAACGATCTAGATTAGATTGACAGTGGTTCAAGGCCGATTCAATAACACGTGGTGCGGCTCTTTCGATAAGTTTCTCAACAGCACCATTAAGAAATGATTCAAAACCGGATTGTTGCCATAATTTTAGTGCATCTGCTTTGGCTTTATGAATGGTCGGTGGATTTTCATTATCATATATAGGTCCGTACGCTTCCTGTAGAAAATCCGAACCTGACTCTAGATTTTCGATGGCAAATTGTTGATTTGGATCCATGCGACTGACTTCAGTCAAAAATTGTTTTGCCAATAAAGCTCGATATGCCTGGACTTCAAACACTCGACTAGCCGTTTGATGATCAGAAGCAGCTTGACCAATATCGAATTTATTCCGTACAAGATCATGAACTTCTGCTTTACTCATATCTCCGCGTCGTTGTCGTCGTTGATCGACTTTGTTTACTAGTGCAAAAAGTGAATCATCACTAGCAGAAGTTGTCTGGCGAATATTCATAATTTCAGTTTTAATAATTTTGTCTGCTTCAGTATTAAATGCCGTGTAATCAAGGACGACAAGTATCACAGTAGATCTTTTCAATTCTCGTATTATGATTTCTTTCAGAAAATTAGTACTCATATCTTCATTCGGTCCAGGTGTGTCAACGATAACCAAATGTCCAAATGATTCGTGCGCCATACTTTCGTTACCTAAACATGTATATCGCGCAATGATTCGCGGTAACTTCTTGAATGAACGATGATGTGTATTGGAGCGTTCTGCTGGCATTAAAATTTCATGAAGACGAATAACATCATTTATATACTGAAGTGTGTCCCAGATATATGAAGTGCCAGTTATCCTCTCTTCGAATGTACGACCATTATTAGCTGCATCTCGGATTTTTTCTGCAATAGAAACTAAATGGGTATGTTCAGGAAGTTTTCTCTGTAAGCCTTCCAACGTTCGACTAGTTGAGAGATGAAAACGAACGCTTTGTTGCATTGACATAATTTCTTCAATCAATTCCTTATCCATAACGAGAGTTGGTTCCTCAACGATGTCACCTGGTTTGGCAACTTCAAGAACTACTTCGGTTGGAATGACAGTCATGGCGGCGTTACGTGAAGGAAGAACATTTTGACCCAAAATAGCATTGATGATCGTTGATTTTCCTGCTTTCATTGGTGCTACTATACACATACGTAATTCGAGATGCTTGACATTCGAATAAATGGAGTCAAACTCATGTATTAGTCTTTGTGTATTATTTGCAGTTTCTGTTTGGTCGTCATAGTCCAATATATTACTCTCATTTTTGAGGAGATTGATAATACGGTTCAAAACTTCTAAAAATTGCTGCCTTATTTTAACCAGACTTTTAATTGTAGTGTGTGACACGTCTATTGATTGCATTTCAGATGTAATAGTTCTAGCATACGATTCATTAATGTTTGAAGCCATGATCTATGATAAATGTTCAAAATACTTCTTTCTAGACTGTTTTACTATGAACATTGTAAAAAGCTTCCATATAATTAGAAAGCTTTCAAAATGCTAGACGTATCCTATAATTTAATAGTTAGTTGGCAGGTGAATGAGGATACGATGATAGATAGTATAGTCTCTGTGTGACTCAGAGGTGAAGTACAAGGCGATTTTAGCGGCATTTGTCGAATTTTTCTTCACGTTTATACACTCTGTGACAAGCCAAAAGAATCCGATATGGACCTCAAGAGATCTAAATACTTTACACAAGCTTTCAACTAATGAACGAAAGTCTGGAAGCACAATCATCGGAAATTCATTCATTTTCCGACACTCATATATATATATATATATATATCACTGTTGCGATACTAAGTAATTCAGTACTAAATAGAGAGATATCATTAAAATTTGTCTCATTCTGCAAAGTAATGGTAGATAAGATATTTCTATAAGGTTGGAACGTATATACAAGAGAAAGAAACAATTTTACTTACCATTCAAGTGCAAGATACAAAATAAACGAAGATAGTTTACATAACTTTCAATCCTTTTAAGGTGGTAATCGGGTTTTTTCCAATCGCAACATGCTTGCATATAGAAAAAAAAATAATTACACGTCCTCTCACGCGGACAGAATAAGCAATAGTGACACGTCACAAAATTGATTTTATTCTATTCTCGTATGATATTCATTCATTCGCGCTTCGATTTATTTTTCACCTTTTTTCCAACTTTTTCTCCCCTTACAAACACATCGATGATCAGGACCAATAGTCTTGATTGCCATATACGGAAGAGAATCAAGAGAAAAAAAATAAAATTAGAAAAAAGAACGTCTAATGTGCATTTATTCACTTTTTTTCTACTATCATTTATCGTCAAGAATACAGCTGGATTTTCACTTTATTATCGCTTATAATTATTGATTCAAACTAATAAACTGTACACTTTAGTACGGCTACTATAATGAAAGCTTCACTCATATGATACAGAGAAAATAGTGCAGTTGAATTCAAAACCTATGTCAAAATATAAAAGTAACTTCAAATAATTTTAGCTTGGATGAGGTTTGTAGAAATAGTTTCATGTATAGTAAAATACAGAAATGCATGTTAAAGTGCTTCAAAACGTTGTATGAAAGTAACTAACATGCTATGCAAAAGTCTTCTGAAAAATCCCAAACTCTATTAAATCATACTGTCGACTTCTATGTCACTTTACTTTTTTTTTGTTAGAAGTAGATGTGAATGAGTATGTGAGTGTTTATTATCCATCTACACCCACACTCTCTCTATGACTCATAATACATATATCATCATTTTATCTAATATTTGTGTGAAGATTTTTTTTCTTTCTGTTCCTTTATGAGTAATTGAAATAATGACGCGTTATTGCACAAACAATTTGCAATATGTTTTTAATATAAAAGGACGCTTTCTACGCGAGAGCTATTCATTATTTTTTTTTACGTTTTATTGTACTGTTGCTTCAATGAGTAAAAGAAAACGATATGAAACTGTTACGATGAATGTTGATGAAGCAAAAAATTTTAAACGAATTTCGGATCGTTCAGTAACAGCTACGTATACAGAAGGCAAAGATGAAGTGCAGAATAATTTGAATGAGAATGTCACTTCAGATTGCATTACAAGTATATCTTCATTAAAGGATGAAGACTCAATAGAAGTGGCAGTTTCAACTAAGGAAAAGATGATATGGGATAATAAATGGTAATTACGAAATTATTTAGAAATTATCATCTTTTCTTTGATTGATATGTAGGTTTGAATTTAAAGAGACGTCAGAATTGAAAGAAATAAAGATAGATACTCAATCAACATTAAAATGGTGCCCCAATTTCATATCAAAGGAAGAAGGAGATGCTCTGTTCAATCATTTAATGAGAGGTACTCATATTAATATAAAAAGAAAAAAAAACATTAAATTTAATTGATACTTCATTCATTTTCAGAGCTGAATTTCGAGCACACCGTAATTTCTATGTATGGAAAACCTGTCAAGCTGGTAAATAAGCGAGACGCTGCGAAAGATAGTTATTGAAATTTCTGCCGTTTCTATGTTTAAATTGTAGCCTCGTCTTCAGTCGTGGTTTGCAGAAGAAGGATTGACTGTAAAGGAGCTATTCCAGAAGCAGAAGCAGCACATCTGGACTTCACCAATGCGGAAACTTAAGGCTCAACTTGGGAAGCAATTGGGTAAGCTAGAATAACGAGAAGCAAATAAGATATTGCTTTTTATAGGTATAGAATTTGATTATTGTTTGGTCAATTTGTACAGAGATGGAAACGATCATATCGGTTTTCATGCAGACAATGAAGCAAAAGACATCATTGCTTCTATGACATTGGGTGCTACACGCAGGTTTATTCTTTTTTCAACTTTATTCAGTCAATAAGTATCATTTTTAGGTTTCTTATGCGACATCTTAGCTGTTTCAAGAAAACTCTAACACGAAATAGAAAAGCTTTAACAATGCCTGAAAAGAAAGAAGTAATTTAATTTTATAAGCCTTCTTTTCTCACTTTTGTTTTAGTACGAGTTTTCCTTGACGAATGGATCACTCTTTGTGATGTTAGGTGGTACACAACTGTATTGGAAACATTCAGTACCAAAAGAGAGAAACGTAAAATGTCCTCGAATCAATCTCACGTTTCGCACCATGCAAAATAAATGAGAAGAAAGGAAAGTATTTGATGATGGTGCATTTGTCACCAGCTCAATAATCATTGTCATGTTAACTTTTTTTTTCTTTTAATCTTTGTATAACATTTTTTGATGAAAAATAAACAAGCGAATAAGAACTAAAAATCCATAGAGAAAAACACGGATTGATAGAGCGCAGATCCACGGCACTTGTAATTTCTTACGAAATATTATCCTCGATTGATGAAAGATACTTATCTACGCTAAATATTTACTATCTATTCTTTTTGGTTATATATAATGAAAACACAGACTATATTTCTTTACAAAGCGACAACGATTTTTGTTTTTACAAAATGTTCTACTACGCAGTTTTTACTACATTTACTATTCTTATTGTTGGCTCGAATACTAAACTAATAAGATCATTGACACATAAACCTAAACCATGTTGTTTACCGAAACAACATAGTTCACAAATGATTATATCAACTAGTATGGTATTACTAGATAATAAACTACATAGTTCATACGTAAGTCGTTTCTATTAGAAATATCTGTATGTGAACTATTACTAGTTAAATAGATAGTCAACCCACAATTTTTCGTACGATTCGAATCGTGGATTGATTGCACTGAAAGGTCAAGCAACTTCAATACCAGATAGTTAAAAATCAAATTGGTGGGTTATACAGAGTATGAAAGATGGTCAAACTTATACAATAGATCAAGATTCAAAAATATGTCATAAATCAATAATATCACAAAAACCATTTTATTGTATACCAGGTATTTAAGAATGTTGTTTCACTATTTTCTCCGCTCTTATCAATATTTTGTTTTTTGTTATGTTATTATAGAGACAGCAGTATATCAATACTCGTCTATATATGGATATGGTGATAAACAAATTATTGGTGATACATGGCTTATAATAGAAGATGAAGCAATGAGATAATTTACAGTTAATGGTGATGGTCTATGCATTCCATTGAACGGAAACAGTTACTCTCAAAATCCTAGTAAGTAATTTTATAATGTATAAATACTGGTTATTATCTTTCTTTGTTATGATTTTAGCTACAGTTAATTCAACGACAATATCAAATTTCGTACCGAAAATTCTTGATCCAAGTGCATTCGACATACCGGAACAATGCAAAAATGCTGTTTAGCAGTTTGATTTTTCTCACTAATAAACTGAGACATATTGAAATTTATTCAAATAAACGATAATCTAATATCTAGCATTATCTAGCAGTCTCTTTTCTATCTAGACCCAAAGAAACTGTCATTTGTGATCTTCTAGATTTTTTAGATAGAACTGCTTAAGTAGTGAACTTATGATAATAATCATATTTTTTTTGAATACTTCCTGACATAATGAATTCTTCTTTTGCCAAGAATTAATGTAAAATAATACAGTACAATTTAAAAAATAAAAGTTAGATTTGTTTCGTGCTTTTATTCTATTCTTTTATACCAACGTCGAGCTTTAACATGACCACATGTGAATTCCTAAAATAATAACAATATTAGAGCTAACTAATGACAAGAACTTACAACTTGTTGTTGACCTTCATCATCAATAAATCGTTCAAGATGCACTTTCTTTCCTTGTTTATCAATTGCGTTATGAATCCAACGACCAGTCTCATTGTCATATGTTATTGTTGACTTTAAAAATAAATCTATTATTAATCTGAGGTGCTTATTTCATTATTTTTTAAATCTCATACTAACAGATTCTTTCATAAACTCAGAATTTCACACTTACTTTTACTTCTGCTCCATCTGCACGTACTTCATCAAATTCAACGCCTAATGTGAACTCATACACTGTAGTTTTAAATGTTGATTCGGATTTCACTGTCCATTTCCCATTATTATCTGTACTAATGGTCATTTTTTCTTTCGTTACAGCTTTTGCAGCTTGACGTATTAACCATGAAATACCTATATATTACCAGTGAAACATTTCTCTACATTCACATAATTATTATACTTCATTGACTTACCCATTTCTCGTAAGCATTCATCAAAATTTTCACTATTTACAAAATCCCATGTACCTTTAAATTTTTCCATGCCAGAATCTGTAGAAGCCATTCTGAATTCAAGCCAACACTCTTATTTGCGTATAATGTTTATGCGTTAGATTAACTTCTTTATTCATTTTTTCTTTTCTAACGTTCTATTGTTTATCACTGATAAGATACATCTGTGCGCAATAATAAGTCTTTCTTTTGCTTATTGATGATCATAAAAAAACTAAACTAAAGATAAGATATTTCATTTTTCTCAACAGATGAAAACATTACTGATATATATACTCATGTTTTACTTGTAGCTTCATCAATGAAAAGTCATACTGTTTCGCGCGAGTGTAGACGAGAGATTATTATATTTCGTACTAATCTATCAATATTATTTTTCAATGAAACTTTCACAAAGCAGACTTTCCATTTATTCAATAAAATGAGAATCAAACTTCAAGTATTGAAGCAGTTATACAATATAATAGGAAAACTTAGAAAGCTAAAAGTCATTGTAACTAATGCACAAACAAGATAGTAATGTTGTATTTCAAGATTAATATAATCTGATAGAACTTTTCAGAAGATGTTTTTCATTGTATTGAATTGAAACCCTTTAATAATTAATAATAATAAAAACAAATATGTTGATAGTATAGACTTAATATTTAAACTTTGTTTCATTAAATCAACTATTCAATTTACATATTTAGATTCTATTCGAAATATTATATAAAATCACTACAAAAAACCTATTAACTACAATTAAATAATCAAAAGTTCAATATATTATGTGGCTATCTTTATTCTATTCTTTTTCTTGATGAGATTTATTTCTCCTATAGATTTTATTGACAACAATTGGATACAATACAGATGAAATATACAAAATAAAGAACAATATTAATGAAAAACTAAAGATATATTTTCAATTTAATTTTATGAAATATTTACAAGAATAACAGTCATTAATTCTTTTTTTAAGAAAGACTTAATTATTTAATTTAAGATATGAGTATGAATTTAAAATAGAATGTAGAGAAGTATTACATTACATTGGCATCCATGTCTATATTATCCAATATTTCAAGCAATGCAAACTCTTTGATAGTTCGCTGATTAATAATAATTCTACAGAAAATATTCAGTACTATTAAATAACAAATCTCTTTCGACATCGGACGTATAGAAGAGAATAGAATAAAGAATACAGAAAATTAATTTTTTTAACTTTCAAGGATTTATAAGTGAGTATGATCTTTGGTCGACCAAAGATCAATATTCACACTCAGACCAACACCTACAATTTTTTTCTGTCAAAATGGACAGAAAAAAATTGAAATAAGTGTTCAGAATAAATAAACTTTCCAAGTAGAAATATATATATCGTAAACCATCTGTATAAAACTAAACATTCTCTCGGGTACTTTTTTTTTGACGTTGAATAAAGAATTATTGTATACGCTATACAGCTGACACACAACACTTGTAAAGACGCACTTTTTTCTTTTTCCTACCTTCAGAAATAGTCTCTCTTAATGATAGAATCGTTTCCATATACTTACATATTTCTTACAATGAATCAACATCAAAGTAGTCTCTCCATTGTAGTTTGAGTTGTTTCCGAGATAGACAAGTAAACGTGTCGACAAGGCCTATCATATTATCAATTACACTACTATCGAATGCATTCGCACACACGAAAATATCTTTAATTTCTTTTGGTTAAAGATTTTTCATTTTAGAACAAAGATAATGAAGAATAAATTGTGAGAAGTTTTTTTGTCAATTGAGGAAGCAGGAGAGAAAATGGCCGTCATTCAGAGAATCAAGGTTTTATTGCGTCTACTGCTTGCATATATTAGGAATTTTAATATATACACAGAAACAAATGATGCTCTTCCTGGTGCTCGTGAAAGTCAGATCCTTGCTACACGTGTTTATCTTGTATTACTTGCACTAGCCATGTCCATATTAACTGGATATACAGCATTGGTCCATCAAACGCTCATCGTCGAAATGAACAATCCATCAGAAACTGAGTATGAGCGTTTACAAGCACTTTATCCGAATACAATCTCATGTCCATGCTCACAGATTGTTATCGCGGCAGGGACGTTTGTAGACATCAGCGTCAGTTTTCATCAGGTATGTTAACTCAATTCAATTTCTATCGAGATATTTCTCTTCACTCTCAAGATACCGTGAATATGAATGCTCCTTTCCGTGAGGAAGGTATATCATTACTGCAGTGTTCATCACGATTCCCAGCAGATCCTGAGGTGTTGTTCGGGAATAATAGTGGGAGCTCGATGTTTACTATTTCCGTTTTAGTGATTATTATTCAAAATATTAAAAAGTATATTGGCACTTTTAGATTTGCTCAAGTGATTTTGTAACTGATGCATGGGTGAATCATCTTTCCTCTAACGATCCTACTTCACTGTTTTATCCGCTCGATATACGCAGTTCGGTCTCTTCACAATTCCAACTACTTACGGCTCTCTGTCATGCTTCGCAAGCAGCCGTTCTCGATGGACTAACATTGTTTGCGACAAGCAATCTTATAACTCCAACTGTGCTATCTCGCTCAACCTTTGATACACAAGTTTCACTTCTTGTGGATGATTCTCGCACCAATCTACTCATTGAACAGCGACGCAAACTTCTCCTCATCCGTGCAGTCAATGAACAAAACCAATTGCCTACTGCAATGAGCACCAACTTTATCTACACTACTGAAGATAACTTCCGTCCGGGTCTCTACTTTATTCAGTAAGAATATCAATATTTTCTTCAATTCTACAGTTTCAGTATATAGAGTATGCTTTTTACTGACTTCTAAATCAGAATGAAACCATTCGGTTATACTGTTGATAGACAATTATTGAATTTCAGAGTTTTGAGCAATTACAAAACTTCTGGATAGAATATACTTCGGGTGATTTGTGTGCATTTTTCTGAAGTCATTCTTTGATTATTTCTCAATACAGGTACCCATTAGTGAACCAAACGAGCTCGTTTTGTTCGTGTCAACTTTCATTCGATTGTGTGTATCCGGCAGGTGTTTACAATAACTTATCTGGTATTAATGCTCTTATGGAATATGGACTTTTGCAATCATCACACGTGCCTGAGTTTACACTTCAAGGCATGTTGGTCGGCTGCTTTCCTCTAAACGTACTACTTCAGTCTACACTTGAGTGTTTATTCAATTCAACTTGTCTGGTTCAACTGCAGTCCAGTCTACTTAATGGTCTTCCTATAGCAGTGAAGCCCTTAAATGATGACGGAAACTCTCGTTTTCCCATTAATACAACAATTCAAACGATTGTCGACGAGCTCTTGATTGAACACTGGATAAACACGAGCAGCTACTCAGTCTTCTACGAACAATGTCATCCTATCAAGTGCACCTACTCGTATACGCCAAGAGTGAATACAGCGCTTACTGTTGCTACGATTATTGCCTTATTTGGTGGTCTTTCCATTGCATTCCGGCTGATTGCACCGCTTCTTGTTAAAATCAGTCGAACTATACGAGTCAAGCTTCAAAAGCAAAGACCAGTCGGTATCAGGCATATAGGAGGAAGAATGCTCGATCGTAAGTTGTTTAATGTTTTATATCTCATTTTTATGTGAGTATGAAGTTTTTTTTATCATTGAGTGGTACGCGTAGATTCTGACAACAAAATGACTTTCACATGGTACACGTTGCTGAGAGAGTCTTTCACATCTTCGTTCTGTCTGATTCTGTTTGAAACAAATTTTATTGCTATTCTAAAAAAACGAAAGTCTTGATTGTTTTCTTAAAAGACGTTTATTTGTTTTTATTTATTGACATGAAAGCTTGGCTACGATTGAATTGATATTTTTGCTAATATTATTGTATTTTGTGACGCTCTCTAGGACCATCGATATTTAAACGTATACAATTGGTTTTAAAGGCCACCGGTCAAAAGATCCTCCAGTTAAATTTCTTTAAGCATCCGAATAATGATGAATATGGCCGATATACAGAAATACTTACCACACGTATCTTTATCATACTTTTAGTCGCTTCTCTCGTCATACTGACCTTTTACACATTGGTCGTAGAGCACACAGAAACTGTGCAGGTATACAAACCGTCGATCGCTACCTATCAGCGTCTGTTAATTGAGCGTGGAGACACTCTATCATGTCCATGTACACAGATCACTGCATCGTATGTTTCATTCATTGCAACTATGCCGGTAAGTTGTGACCCTGCAAATGAAACCGAATAAAATTGAGAAATTGTTTCTTCTTCTTGCTGAGAATAAATCTTTGAAATCGATATCAACTGTCAATACTACTTTAAATAAATTAGATACAAATATAAAGCAGTATTTTTAGATTCCCAACGAAAATCTTAAGAAATATTTCACTATTTTAAAGTTGATCTCCTCCCTACCTACAGTCCTCAGTTCTATTGTAAAATCTAACAATTCTCATGACCAAAATATCTGATTACTGTTTAATTTCTTTAGATGTATCATCAACTTTGCTCATCGGTTTTTGTGACGGAAACTGTTATTCCAACGTTTCCCTCTTCTAACTTTTCAATGTCATTGAGTATATTTGACTTTCATTTTTTCGGACCATCGTTTTTCAGCTTACTGCCGAAACTATGTACTCTCGCAAAAACGACCGTTGATGATGCTCTAGCTGTATTCAATGCGACTAAGTACGTAAGTGCAACGTTAACCACAGAGACGGAACTGCTGACACGAGCCACTGCACTGTTAACTGCCTTTCAAACACAAATGTCAAGTAATTTTCGACACGTATTGCAACTTAATCTTGACAATACCCAAGCCAACCAACTTCTTACAGCATCTTTTACTAATGCTTACTTACATGTATATCAAGAAGATACAACGGAGAGTGACAATCGCAGACTCGAAATCTGGTGGCAAAACTCACTTGATCCAAGTTGTAACTGTGGCACATCACCTACGACATGTCTTCTCTCGTTCGCTCGCTATTGTGAAACTTCTATTTTTGCTATATATTTAGATTGCTACGCATTGTCAAATCAAACTATTAACG